TTCTGCAGTCAGAGACTGCATGTTGGTTGCCTGAAATTAGCCATAGTGTCAGTATTCAGAATATTTACATCAAGGAAATCAGCACACTGCTGGATTCAAAAAACGACTAGCACAGACAAACTCTAAGACCATTTATTGTTTTGGTCAGAAGTGGTAGGCAGTCCAGCAATGGATCAGTGACTAAATAATATCATTGAGGATCAAGGCTCTTTTTATTGTTACCTTGGTAGATGTACCCTTACATTTCATTGTTCAGAACTGGTTACATAGCTGATCTCAGCTATAAGAAAGTCTTGGAGAGATAGTAGCTGACAATAAGAAACAGGATAGCGTGATTAGAACATTAATCTCTGGAGTTCTACCTATTATTACTGCAAACAATTGGGGTTTATCAAGAAGGGTGGACTAGGAATGGAAAAGCAACTGTCAGGGAGGAGGAGAGCTCCCCTTCTTTAGCCTTCTTAAGTTTTTCTGGCTGGACAAATAACAAAATTGTCATGAAACTAGATTAACAGGAAAAAAAATTTAATATGTGCATAGAGGAGAATCACAAATGTTGCTCAGGGAAATGATGAATCAGACAGCGTTTTATATATTCAAAGAAACAATAAATTTGTGAATAATTGACAGGACCAAAAAAAAAGTCAATGCTCATTAGAAAAGAATTTAAACAAGGTTTAGGTATTCATTAGTGAGGAATCTATACAAAATTTGGGCTTGGATAGAAAGTTAATAAAAGGAAACATGGCTTGTTTCTACAGGCCTTTTGGCCCTGGCTCTCTTAGCTCTAGTGATACGATTGTCTCTCAGCCCTCCTAAAGCAGGGAGGGCACCTTCCTTGCTCAGGGGAGATTTGTTTCCTGTATTCAAGGAGACAAGGGAGGTTAAGGTACCCTTCGGCACCAGCTGCTTGTCAAATAACTTTAATTTAAAATAATCAACATGCCATTGTGTGATATTTTGGAGTGGCCTGTCTTGGGCCCCCGGACAGCTACTAGTGTGTGTGTGCACGTATGTAAATATAAAATTAAATGAATAAATGAATAAATGCGTATTTTTAAAAAACATTTATTTATGCATCAGAAATGTGTTATTCTTTTATATGTAGGGTGGGAATGTAGGACTTTGGGAAGACTTTTACTTTTCTACAGTTGCCCCAATTTTTTAAGTAAACACGTATTATTGGAGTAAATAATAAAAATATTTGCACTTCTGAAAAAAATTAGAATGCGAAACCACTTAGCATAGTGCTTGGCATATATTATATATTTAATACACAATGTTCTCTGGATTTAAATATTTTATATTAATTTATACATCTTAAAACTTTCAATATAAGTCTATGCCTACCTCTATTCATATTTATTCCCAAGTATTTTGTGTGCTCCTTTTATGCTAAATGTGAATGAGAGGGAAGGTTTATTGAGAGAGAAGGCAAGGCTGGAAAGGCAGGTAGGGACAAGACTAGAAGCCCTTGACCGATGGGGAAAAAGTTTGGATTTCATCCATGAAAGACTGAGGAGCCATTAAAAGAATTGATCAATGTACAGCCGAAACTTATTGGATTTCATTAACCAATGTCACTATAAAAAAAAAAAAATTAAATAAAATAAAAAAAATAAAATAAAAGAATTGATCAAGAGAGTAACATAATCAGAGTTTTGCTTTAGAAGGATTATTTCTGTTGTAGCACACAGAATAGGGATCGAAGAAACAAAGGACCAGAGCGGCTGGGAGCAACAATTATGGCAAAGTTTTGCAGTTCTAAGAATTGATACTGAAGGGGCTTAATTATCAAAATACCTGGTGTTTGAACCTTATGGGGGAGGTTACTGAAGGGTCAAAAGGATGTGGCTCATCTGGTACTTAAAAAACCCTTAGGCTCACATGCATACAATGAGCACAAAATACTCTCCTAGTGTCAGAAAGGTACATTTGTGCCCTTAGGCCTGCTTTTGATTTTTTTCTGATCCTCTCCTCTCATGTTTGCCAGTTTAAAAATGATGGAGATTTTAGTTGTCAACTAGTAAAAATGTTGAGAATGCATAGAAGGGGGAGGTGAGTGATTTGCATCAGGCCACGGCAAAGGTCCTGATCACAGATGTCTAGATGAGAAGCCATAAGGAAACAAACAAATGAATATATTTAGAAGTAGGCTGGCATAGAAAGACAGAAGACTTAAAGAAAAAGTAATCTTAGGTTTAGAAACTGAGAGCTTGAGAGAGAAGATTCTAAGTTTTTTTTTCATTTGGGTGTCTAAGAGATTAGAAGTGTTGTGAATAGGTAGAGGAGTAGTTTGGGGGGCTCCAGGGAGACGTTGGGAAAAATAATTAAGTTTTAGATATACTGAATTCAATATCGCCAGATGTTAAAATGGCACTGTTCAAATGGGAGTTAAAAACTCAAAATCAGAGCTTAGTTTATGAAATTACAATGTCAGGTGGACAAAAAAGAATTGAAAATCGAGGACCTAGATTCCATACTTGCAGGAATGGATGACATCACGGGGGAGGCTTATATGGGAAAATGTGAAGGTTGGCAGCAGAAACAAGTATCACTTTGAGGGGCAAGAAGGGGATAATGGTTCCCTGAAAAAGGTCAGAGTTGGGGAAACCTAAGAGTCTCACCTATGCTGGAGAGAAATCTAAGGAGGATCAGTGTCAGTGATTTCGAGGGGTCTAGAATTTGGCAATGAGGTCATTATTGATTTTGGAAGCTGTTTTGGTGGAATGGTGGGGATGAACTGAATATCTCAAAAGGATTGGTAGAAAGGAGAGAAGAGTGAGGTGAATATTGTGACTCTAGGCCAAAAGGGAAGTGGGTTAGAGAGCATCTTTACACACAACTTTACCTAAGTAGTATTAGCATGTTAGGCAAACAAGAGACATGAGAATTGACCCTGTAACTACTAGAAAAACAGAAAACCTCCAAGTATTTTAAAACAGGCAGATTTATTGTGTATTTATATAACCTTTCTGCTTAGCACTCTTTATTAGCTTCATTGCTTGACAAACTAAGTATGACTTAGAAAGCTTTCTGTGTTCTGGGTTCTTCCTTTACCAGCCTCATATCTTATTCCCGGCTCCCTTCCATCCTCAAGACCGCACACAGAACTTCTTCCAGTTTTACAAATGCCTTATGCTGTTTATTGTTCTGGTGTTTGTTGCTTCTATTACTATCAATTCCTTCTCAGCTTGGTCAAAAGTTCTCTATAGAGCCTCTTGGGGGTGCTCAAGGTTGATATGAACATATCCGTCTGTATTTGTATTATTGTTTTTCTATCACCTAGCACCAGACTGGGTATATAGTCTGTATTCGATAAATGTTGAATGAACAAATAAATGAAGATTGCAAGTCTTCATGTTGCGCCCATTTTTCATTAAAAAAAATGCAGTACAGTATATTTGGCATTTATTCTTCCCACACAGTATTCAATTTTGTGATTTTGTTAAAATAATAAATTTCATAAATATTATTTTAAACTTGTAAAATAAAAAAGCCCTTATCGCGTTACTCTGTTGTAAATTTCCATTTCTAAAATTGTTTTGTCCTTTCCATAAGCTCTTTGCTTTGAAGCAGTTATTCTCTTTCTGGCAAAATTATTAGCAAGCGGGATGGGCCTCCTTTTTAAATCTAAATGACTAAATTCAAACCAATTAAAGTTTCAGTGCTACAAGAATCAAAAGAGGTTTTAATCTCTATATTTGCATTTATGACCGTTGGCTCGCCAAAAACGGACAGTAAAGAAGGCCTCCTACACCTGGTTTCAGGTTGTTTACAATCAATATGAAACCATTTCAGCATAAATGGCTCATTTTGCATTAAACACCCTTTTGCGGGGAGGAGGTGGTGATGGTGAAGATAAAATTCTTAATCAAAATCCCGCCAATTTGCAATATTCTTTGGGGAATAGGCTTAAGCCAAGAAACAAAAGAGGGGATTTGGTTTTTCAGTCTCCCTGAGGCAGCAGCAGATTGTGAAGCAACTACGAAACACCAAGTATAAATTATCAACACGATGAAGACGTGTGTGCGTGTGTGTCATGGGGATTGGGGGTACTGGGAAAGGCGGGGGCGGGGGGGCTAGGAGAGACAAAGCCCGTGTTAAAGATCCAAGGACTTTTTGCGAGGTACCTCGTTACGTAATATTTATGAAGAAAGGCGCTGCAATAGCATCAGCGCACTGACCCGCAATCTTCCGGCCCCGTTTACGACAAGGTGGGATACAATAGGATTGGGAGGGGACAAGAAGCGCCATGCAGAAAGAGAGCGGTCTAAACAGCGGGAAACCAACCACTGGTGCATAAGCCTAGGTCAGAGAATTTCCCCACCTCTCTGGCATCAGACCACAGACCCCAAGAGACTGTTCTAGCTCTAAAGATCAGCAAGGGAGCTAGCTTTAAAATGCAGGATACAGGACTCGACCTTTTAGATGTTTATTCAGCAGGCAGGAGAAAAGGTGTTAGGGCTCAGAAATCTGCATCTTAAGTCAGTTCTCTAGGCATTCTGAGACGGTACCCCTGGCCCCCTCCCTGAGAACACCAGACAAACGTGGGCCGGGAGGGGCTCGTGCGGGGACGAGACGCGCAAG